CATCTCTCATGATACATCCATAAGTGTACATACCATATGGCTTAGTTGACGCATCAAAGTTTATTTTTATGGTATCTAAGGGTGGGGGTATCCATCTTATCCAGTTAAGGTGCTTCATTGGAATAGGGTTGTTGGTCTTGTGTAAACCTTCTACTTCTTATTAAGTTATTTGATAAGTACAACCCATGCCAGCTTCCTTATGATTCTATTACTTCTAAACCCCTTATCAAAGAATCATTCAACTTAAAAGTTTAATATGTTAGGTGATTAATGCTTCTAACCCAACTGGAAATCCAATCGAATGGTCAGCATTTGATCAGGTATGATAGGCTATTGATGCATGGTTTGATTTGCATGATCTCAAAAAATATAGTCTAAAATTATTGGTTGTGCTTTGATAGGCTTTGATCTTCCAATAAAATCTTGCATTAATCTGAGATGCAAAAAAAATTGAAATGTAGGTTTGTGATCTATTCAACCAACTAGCCTTGAATTGAATGGGTAATTAGGCTTGGGTTTAGGCAAGGTAGGTATGGGTAATCTGTGAATCTCATTCTCTAAACACCCCTAAAGTCCGATTTAGTCAGCTTATTATTAAATACTTGAAAAAGACCAAAATGCCCTTATATACTAATGATTCCCAATTAGACTTGTTCACATGCCAGGCCAAGCTGAGCTGAACTTTGCTTTTATATTAACAAAACATGTTCAGGCTCGAGCTTGAGCTTGGCTCTTGTATTAAGCCCAAAGCTTGGGCCTAAGCTTAAAGCACAACCTAGAAATCGAGAAAGAAACACTTTATTTATTTTTTATTTTTTAGTTTTACTCAACAAGAAAATTGATTTATTTATATTAAATGGCCTCAAAACCCACAAATACCCAAAGATCCTATCATGGTTTGATAAAAGAGAAGAAGAACACAGAAAAAATCCAAGCTCGAGCCATGACGGCCTAAAATCTTGTCTAAGCCTGACAAAGAATGGGCTAAACTGGGCCAGCTCATCAAGCTCCCAACCCATAAACATGTCTATTCCCAATTGATGCAAAGTTTGACTTTTGAAATGGTGTAAAAAAGATCGACCTGGAATAAGACATAAAAAGTGCAAAAATGGAGTGTATAGAAAACCTCTTAACTATATATATATATAAAACAAAGCGGTCAAGAAATTTTCTCATTTTTTTGAATTTTTTGTTTTTTTATTCCATGTCATTTTTTAAACAACCAATGAGATGCACTTTCCCAATTACCTAAATAATCTATTCTCCTAAAATTTATCCTAAACTACCACCTAAATTTATCCTAAACAACCAATGAGAGCTTCTCTCATAAATTATCTCTAATTCCTATTTATCCTCTCCCCTACTTTTTATCTATATCTATTTAAAGAAAGTTTGGATTAAAAAATTTAAGAATTATTTAAATATTCTAACACAAACTATCTAATAACTTTAAAATATTTATTAAAAACACGAAAAATAGTTTTATATTTTTACAATATATATCATGAAATTATATACTAACAATTTAAATTATGTTTTTCCGGATTATCAATTTAAATACTTTTCAAATATTTAATAATATTTAATAGCTTTAAATAAATAAAATTCAAATAACAAAAAATTTAAATATTTTATCGATTATTTAAATTACTATATTTTAAATAGTTAAAATAGCAAAATTATCTAATAAATAATTTTATATTTTTACAAAAATATATCACGAAATTATGTACTGACAATTTAAATTATGTTTTTTTTTTCAGATCATCAATTTAAATGTTTTTCAAATATTTAATAGTGTGTAATAGATTTAAATAAATATAATTCAAATAACAAAAAAATTTAAATATTTTATAGATGATTTAAATATTTAAATAAATAGATTTTAAATAGTTAAAATAACGAATTTATGTAATAAATTTAAAAAATTTCTTTAAAGCAGAAAAATAATTATAACATAATATTGAAATTAATAATGATTTAATATATTACAAAATTAATAATGAAATTAAGTAATAATAGTATAAATTATGATTTTATGGATAATTAAATTCCATAAATAACTAATATTTTACATATTATTTATTTAAATAATTTGGTATTTTAAATAATAAAATATTTAACATCACTAGATTTTAAATAGTTAAAGTGAATAAATTATGTAATAAATTTAAAAAATATCTGAAAAGTAGAAAAATAATTATAACATAATATTGAAATTAATAATAATTTAATATTTTTACATAATATTGTAAATAACTAATTTCACTTATATCAAGTAATAATTCGAGAAAATAACTTAAAAAAATTAATATTTTTTAATAATAATTTTAAGCTCTTAACCTATATTTATTATATAATTATATATACTAAAATTTGTATTTATTTTATTTCAGTAACTATTTATTGTTTTTGTGATAAATGCATTTTCATTGATTATGTATAAATTTATTTTGTTTTGTTATTTAATAGAAAACTTTCAATAATTATTGGAGATTAAACTACTATTAGTGAAATATATTTTCACTATTATTTAAGATTATAAATTATTGATTAATATTTATTAGAGATTAAACTATTATTTAAGATTTTACTATTTATTGACTAAGGTAATATATTTTTAGTAGCTATTGTATTTTTTCATTATCAATATATTTTCAATAATTGTGTATTTTTGCTATAAATTTTCAATAATTATTGGAGATTTAACTATTGTTATTTACTTATTTATAAGATATGAGACTATTAATTTAGCTGAAATTATGAGTGTTCATGAGTTGGTTCGGTTCGGTCGTAGGCTATTTGGCCAACCAAATCGACCTGGTCGAGTTGGGGAGTTGGTCAGCTGAAACCGACTGACCTTTTGTGAAAACCAACCCACTCAAGTTGTATCGATTTGGGTTGATTTTTTGGTTTGGTCAATTGATTCAAAAGATTTAAGCTTAAAAATTAAATTAAATTTTAAAAATTATAGTGCAATTATTAAAAATAAATAAAAAAATTAGATTTATGATATAAAACATTTTAGATTAAGAAATATAGGAAAATTTCCACTTTTCCATACTAAAAATTATATTTAAAAATGGCCAAAGTGAAATTGGTTCAACTTGGTCGAATTGGGAAATTTTTTGAACCATAGTCAACCTAAAATACTAGAAAATTGACAAACTCAGGTCGAATTGATTGGGTTGGCCAGTTTCACCAGTTTGATGAATAAACCTAATTGAAATTAATTATTGTTATTTTTATATTATAAAAAATTTATTAAAAGTAGTATATAGAATATGAATAATTATTAATTATTTAAAAAGTTGAAAATATAAAACAATTGTATATTCTTGTGTGATTCTATTAGGGTCATTTACTAGAACACATCTTATAGTTTTACATATTTACTTAAACCTACCTTATAGCTTTTATTTTATTAAAACATTCCATATATTTTACAGTTATTTACTTAACCAACCTGTCATTAATGAGTGTTTTTTTTGCCATTAGGCCCATGATTTTTTATTCCAAAAATACCCTTAACACTTTTTTTTTGTACAAAAAACAAAATTAACCAAATATAGCCAATAGAGTGGTTGCCCGTGTCTTATAAAGGGCAAAGATGGTATTTTTATTTTTATTTTCTTTTGATTAAATTTATTTAAATGAACATTAGGGTCAGCATTATCATTTTCCACTGTCATCTAGTGGAAGATTGATTAAATCCATTACAAATTATAAGTGGTGTTTTAGTAAAATTTTAGCTATAGGATAGATTTTAGTAAATCTATGAAACTATAAGAGGTATTTTAGTAAATGACCATTTCTATTATTTAGTTTTCGCTTAATAAATCCCGTGCATTACACGGGTCCCCGCTAGGGAATAGATTAAGGCTGCATTTGGCATTCCTTATTTTAAGGACTTATCTCTTTTTTACAATTAAAATGCCCCAATGAACATTGAGTTTTTAATTACAGAAAGGAGATAAATCCTTAAAATAAGGAATGCTAAATGCAGCCTAAAAATAATAAGAAAGGTTATTAATAAATAAGAAAAATTTATGTCCTTAAAATAAGGAGATAAGTCTTCTGACAAGATTGCAAGTTTACTTCAATCTTGAGGGTATTTTTAGATTGTTCCCAAATACATGTAAATCAGGACCGTGGTGCAATAATGCACCAAACCGGCATTTACACCATTTCCAAACGCAGCATTAGTTTTTTGAATGTAAGATTAGGTGAATCATATAATTAGTGTAAATAATTAAATATACTCTAAGGTGTAACAAAAATGTAATATACATATTATAAATATACAATATGTACATTTACATGAATGTGTATGTTATACAAATTGGGTACAAGGTATTGGTGTTTCTTTTCCCTCCGGACCGGCCGGATCTACGCAGACCTGGACAAGTCCACACCGTGCAATAGCTTAAGTTGGATCGGGTCAGGCTTCGGTTGGACCAGTTCAACATGCAACCCTGATAAATGCCTAGGTACTAGGTATTGGTGTTTCTTATCCCTCCGGGACCTGCCGGATCTACCCAGACCCGGACTCCGACCCGATGCATCGGCATCTCCTAGCTATTTTTTTTTGTCCCTATAGTTGCAAAACTTTGTTTTATGATCCTTTGGACACATTAGTATTAATATGCATGGCCTAAATCTGTATTTAGGAAACAAGTTCCCATCAAATTCTGATCCAACGGTTTATAATAGAAAACACATCTCTACTATCAAACTCCATACCGAAATAATTCCTTTTAGATCCAGATCCAACGATTGATAGCCCAAGAGCACCGATATCTGGCATACTTCATGTCAGACTAGTGCTGGTAGGACCCACTAGAAGTTGTTAGAAGGCGAGGCATGACAGATTACAATATAGACGTTATAATTAAATAAATAAATGTGAAAGGGCAGACTATAATTAATTTGTAAATGAGTCATCAGCAAGAGGTGAAAATAAAAACTAAATTAAAAAATAGAAAAATTAAAACAAAAAAAAGCCGTTTTTTTTCTTCTTTTGTTCTCTGAAAGTTGCTGAGAAGATTTTGCAGGCGACTCGAATGTTTTTCCTCGGACGACGATCTGAAGTTTCAGAAAAACCCTAACCCGAATGGAAGGTAAAATTACGTCTGAACCTTAAACCAACTACCACGCTCTGTCTGTTTTCTTCTCTCTGTAGCTGTGAATTGACTTGACAATGGACTTGATTTACTTGCTCTGTTTCAGGCTTTCAGTAAATGCTCTGGGATTTGTCCCAAGCTCTTTACTTTTTTGTTTCTTTGAATTGCTGGAGCTGTGGGTTCTGTTTAAGGGAGTTAATCTGAATTTGCTCTTGTTTTGTTGTCAGTTTTGTTTTGTATGGTTCTGTGGTTTTTGTAGTTCAGAGGGGGGAGAATCTGGTAATCTGAATTGGGAAGTTATCTTGTGATTGGATGGGTTTACTGTCAGGAGATCGGAATTTTGTTGAAGAGATGGATTTTCAGAAACCTAGAATTGTTTCTCTGGTTTTCTGTACCTTTTAGTTTCTCAGTGGAGTTAGGAGCTGGCTAGGGTTTTTTTTTTTGTATTAATCATCATTTTCGCTTCTTCAGGGTTTGGTTGATGGTTGTTTTCTTCTTACCTTTAGCAAAATTCTGTTGATTTGAGGGTTTTGTCTCCATGGAGTCGTCTAAATGTTGATTGATGACTAAATATCAGAAGTTATAGTATGGATATAGCAATATTTGCAGCATAAACGGCAGATACATAACACATGGAAATCATAGAAGAAGAAAAGGTAAAAGATCTTTAGTAGTTTCTTCTTTTTGATAATTTTTGGATGGTAATGTAAAATTGTAAAATATTTGCATATTTAAGATACAATGTCCATTGGCAAATGATGCAGCTGAATCTGGTTTGACTCCCCTATATAAATGTGCAGAAATGAATCCAAATTCTGCTAAGGAATATTCCTAAATAAATTATTCCTCAGAACTCCTTATCTGGCTAGTGAATGAGCTAAGAAGATGGCAGTTCTTTGAGTCCAAATAAACAGAGGTTCAATATAGAACTCAAAGTCCTTGCCTCTCTCCATTTTAGTGGCATTACTTCCATGGGCCTTTTATCAAAATAAGTAAATAAATCCCTTTCATGGGCACTTGATGTGACCCTCATCCAGAACTTAGATCTTCACTTGGGAAATTCAAACTGGAATGCTGAAGAAAATTCCATTGATTATCAAGGACATATACGGCAATGGAATTCACCAATGCAACATCTTATCATATATTTTTTTAGGTAGTCTAAGGGACTCATTTTTAGAGATTTAATTTCATTTTGTATTTGGGCATGCATTCAGAGAGTGTATTCATGTTTTCCCATGCTTTTCCATTTGTTTACTAACTTTAGGAGGTATTCTCCAACATGGTTGGAGAAACATTGTTTTTCTTAAAACAAAAACACATAAAATACATTCTTTATTACTTGATGTTTTTCTTTTTTTTTTTTTTCAAGAACTGAGACAAGAATTGCCATTTTGAATTTTTGGATCAAAACCATAATTTTCTCGGGTGGTTTGGTCTTATATTTCTTACAGCATACAATATTCTGATAGAGATTCTGATTAAATTGATATTAATTATCTTTCCTATATACTTTTATATTTATATCTTGTCTACATTTTGAACTTAAGTCCATTTAAATGTGGGTTGGTATGACCCATGGCTGATATGAAGCAACGATAAGAAGGTCTGTAGGAGATTTTGGTTTGCATGTAACACACTGAATAATAGCTCAAATTAGCCTTCTTGAAGTGAAAACAAGTTTTTGTTTTTAATATTATATTTTTGTTGGTTTCAGAAACATTGGTGATTTTTCTGAATCAAACTGAAATGTTCTCACTTTGCTTTCAGAAATACATACCCAAGAATGCGCCTTTGTTTTTTTCCGATGATGCAGCACTTTTCTAGGATTCAAAAAATAAATAAAAGCATTCGTGCTGGTAAATACCCCCTTAGTGGTTTGTTGGTTGTTGTGGGAAGAAACTTTTCTCGGATTTGATAACTTGTTTTACCCCTCACTTCACGAAGCTTCTTTACAAGTTTACATGTGAAATTATTGAAATAAAGATGTAGGAAGCTTATGCATTAAATCATTGCACATATATGCTTTTGTTATTACCTCTGTACTTAATGAAGCTTCTTCTATACAAGTTTACACGTGAAACTATTGAAATAAAGATATAGGGAAGTTTTTTCATTACATTATTGCCACATCTAAGTTTTTGTTATTACCTTTTGATAGTTTTTTTAAACAAGGACATTCAATATTATCTTCCTTGTGCTCTCTGGTTACATTCTTCTTTCCTACTAGTAGGATGTTGAAATGTCATGCAGTAATTTGGTCATTGCAGTCCTTGATAAAATTGTTACGATCAGATGTTGGTGTGTATAATCCTGATCTTGTGAACCTGATATCTTCTGATATGTTTGGACATAGTTTGTATTACCTTCAATCAACCTAGATGCCTACTTCTCTCATGTATTCATTCCAAACCTTCATAGGCAATTACTATAGGTTATCCTTTATAAGTTATATCTAGTTTTCTTAATTATAATTATAAATTCTCCTGTCAGTTCTTTTAGTGTTCCAGTAATTTTATCCATCATGGTAGATTCTAAATAATTTGGACAGTAAATGGTTATTGTGCTCCATGCCAATTGTGCTTTCATCTAGGCTTCTCTTGAATCCCGCATGCATGTTTGTTAGATGAATTAGCTTTCTTTGTTACATACAAAATTTGGAACAAAAGAAATTGTTTATCTTTTCAAAAGTTTAGAATCTTCTGCCTTGTTAGCAACTTTTCCTTGAGGATCCTGGAGAACCAAAAGTTTCTCCGCCCTCCCCCCGTTCATATCCAAAATTGATTCTGATACTGGAATGGACAGGGATTTCTTTACAGGACCCTTTCCTAATTGATTATGTTTCTTCCTTCTAATGATTATAAGATTAAAAGAAAACAGAAAAAAATAAATAATTGAGAAAGAAATGATTGAGCACTGCTTATGTAAAAGTTCTCCTAATCTTAGTTAATGGAGAGAATAATGGTTAAAAGTGGTACATTGGGCTAAAACTATGGAGATATTTGCCCCTTTTCTATGGATGATTTCACAAAAGGATGGAATTGGATGGCAAGACCTAGAATGCAAGAGTATTGGAGGCCACCAATAACACCTCTTCTTAAAGCTGAAATTTGAAGTATGCAGTCTTGGGAACCTGGGACCATCCGGAATAGGAGGAGCTTATAGAGATGCTATGGGAAACATTGTTGCAAAATTCACTGGACCAATTGGTATTGGCGATTCATTAAAGGCGGAGATACTGTTTTGTAAGGATTAAGAGTAAGAAGAAACTTGGGCTTGAGAAATATAGCAGTGAAAGGGGAGTCGATAATAGTAGTGGAATGGATAAAAAATAATAGGTAAAGCTTCTTTCAATAGAAATGGAGACTAATTATTTGGCAAGCGATCAGCAAACTTCCTGGCAAATTCATTAGCTAAGCAAGGAGCATCTAGGGGACAACTGCTTTGGGATTAATTGTAATATAAAATTGTGTATAGTATAAGAAGGGGTGCAGGCCTTGCAGGGCACTTTGTAAAGGGGCTAAACAAACCTATGGGTTATACATTATACATAATTTTCTATTTGTAATATCAATAAAATTTTCAGTTATCCATAAAAAAAGGACCCCTATTCAAGTTTAAAAAATTCAGGCCTATGTGCAACTACTGAATCACCATTTTTCTTTACTAGATCTGAAAGGAAGGAAGAAAGGCCTTAAAATGTCCTATCTTCTGTCCTCATTCCCATCTCATAGGATGTTCATAGGAGGAAAACTGGTGAAAACCTGAAGCAGGTCCATTAGATAGGCTATCAAGCACAAAAACTGGTCTGTTCTGCATGCTTTTGGTGTGAGAGAACAGTGGTTGTTTTACTTAAATGTTGTAAATCTGATATGTTTTGAGAGAACAGTGGTTGTTTTACTATATGTTGTCAATCTGTGATGAAACTCCAGTCCTTTTATTTTCTTACTCTCTGCTGAAGTTATTTTTGGTTTGTTTAGTTTTAGTAGGATTAGTAATGAATTGTTAGAGTTGTTTAGGAGTTACAATCCTTATTTAAGTGCCCCTATGGGGTAGCTAACAGTTTGTCTCAATTCTAAAGAAATTGTTTTGGGGTTAGTTTTCCTAGTTGAGCTTGGAGCCTGTAAAGGAAGATATGAACCCTTATGTTAAGTAAATAAAATAACATCGTTCTAATTGGAATTTAAAAGAGTTGATTTGATGCATAAAAAAGCTGAGTTTACTAAATTTCTCTTTTTGCTTCCCCTCTCTCTCCTTATTTTTCTAAGCCATCTATCTAGGTCTAGTGCTGAAGCTGAATATCGGGTAATGTCTCATGGAGTGGCTGAAATTATGTGGCTAAAAAATTTGTTGAGTGAGTTGGGTTTTCCAGTTGATGGACCTATGACTCTATACTTGGATAACAAAGCAGCCATAAACATCGCTGCTAATCCTATGCTGCATGATAGAACTAAACATATCAAAGTCGACAAACATTTAATCAGAGAAAAGGTTGTCACAGGGGAAGTTTGTACTCCCTATGTCAGTCCTGAAGACCAACTTGCAGACATCTTCAAAAAAGGGTTACATCACTTGTGACATTATGATTTATGTGACAAGTCGGGCATGATTGATATGCCCCAACTTGAGGGGGAGTGTTAAAAGGTTGTTATTCTGTAAGTTTAGTACCACAGGGGTACTTTGATACTTTCATCATTTTTTATTTTAAGTTGTGTTGCCCTAGTATAAATAATAAAAACTGGCGCCGCCAGCATCTTTTTGAGACTCCAAATCTCTTTTCTCTCTTTTCTCTCTTTTCTCTCTTCTCTCTCTTCTCTCTCTTCTCTCTTCCTTCTTCTCTTATGGACAACATGCACCTTGCTTCAAAAAGGCATGTGCCTTATGTGTAAAATCCCTTGGATTGATTTTATCCTTTATTCCTCATAGCAATTGGGGATAAAAAAAAAAATCAAATTTGATGACTTATTAAGGGAAAGACGAAGTAAGAGCATGCTATTGGAGATGTTGCAACGTATGTTAGGGAGGCCAGAAAGTGTTTAGCTAATGGAAATATTGACTTTTCTGGGAACCAGTAATGTGTAAATCACGTCAAACAAAGGCTGGTCAATATCTAAATAGAATGGATTCAAACTTCTCCTAGAATAGATGCTGGTGCTTCTTTCTAGCAGTGCCAACTCTCTTCATACAGTATAGACTCAATTATCTTGTATTTCTTGAGTTTATGTTTCTAGCGGTGCACATTCTCTTTATACAGTATTCTTTTACGGGGTCTGTTGTCTCTTAATTCTCCCTTAGTCACTATCTTCTCTTCTTTATTTGATCCAAGGAATTTCCTGTCCAGTTGTCTACTTGTCTGTAATTCCAGGAATGAACTCTTGATCCAATCCTCCAAACTTATCTATTTGCAATTCCATTTTAATCTTGTTTCTATAATGTTGGTCATGATTTCATTAAAATTTTAAGCATTTTTAATGCACTTCTTTGTTTAGAGATATGTAAAAAAAGTTAACAACTAAGATGAGTAAAAGCCTAAGCAGTTTGTCTGTGTTGTTTTAACACTACCTGACAGGGGGTTCACCTGACAGAGAGTCATTGGCATCTGGAACAAAAAGATCCAGTGTATCATCAGGAGGCAGGTCTAGGAGTTGCAAAGATTTTCTCCGGAAATTTCTTGACAGTGGAATCCTGACAGAGAAGCTTGAAGATTGGTTTTTAGAAATATCAGAAGATGCAGCTTGTAAAAAAACTGTTCTGGATATTCCTTTTGAGTTGACAGAACTCCAAAAGTTTGATTATGCTTTGGAAGGGGTTTCATTTCAGCAGCTAATTCGGATGCCAAATGCTATTTATGCTTCAACATCTGATGCTGCTGAAGCTGCTGCATATCTTGCCGTTGAAGATTTCTTACATGCAAGTGCAAAGGGATTGTGGGATGCATTTTGGAGTCATGGTGAGCCCATGCCTTTCTCAGTTGCTTGTCTACATGGTTCAAATTTGAAATTTTATCCAGCTGAGAAGGCAATTGCAAGTGGAAAACTTGGAGGTCTTTGTGCGACTGCTCTGATGATGAATGCCCGGCATTCACATGGAAAGTGGGACCACATTCTTGAACTAGCACTTTTGAGGCCCAACATTGGGGGCCTCTCAGTGGGGAGTAATCAGCAGCCTTCACTCCCTGTCCTTGGTGAAGCCCTTTTCTTTGCTTTACGTATACTACTATCAAGAAGCATCAGCAGATATAGTGTTCTTCAGAATTATAATACAGTCTTTATTCTTCTTGTTGATTCTCAGTATGGTGGTGTGGTAAAAGTTGAAGGTGATGTGAATAAATTGGACCTTGATGTCAGCAATGTTTACAAATGTGCTGCTGAATGGATACAGAAACATTCACATGTTGCAGTTTCTCCAATTGATAGGATTTGGAATAAGCTTGGAAATGCCAACTGGGGAGATATTGGTGCTCTTCAGTCACTTCTAGCGACCTTCCATTGTATTGCCCAATTTTCTGGGATGCCAAAGCATTCTATTGATGATTTAGCTTCTGATCATAGTTCTCGTCTCCAAACCCGAAGAACTGAAAGACAATTTGGAGATGCCCGAGTTAATGGAAATGGTGTATTCAGGTTTCAACAGCGCAGTGCCTCCCCAGAAATTGTTGAAGTCCAGGATGAAGCTGTGAAAGTAAAAGCTAAAGAGGTGATGAAGCTAGAAGCAGGATCTGTTTTATGGCTAGAGGATTCAAACTGGCAAAAGGGTTTCCAAATTAATGAAGTATTAGGTGATGAAGAGTTTTCATTCTACAGTGCAACCTCTATGGAAGAACTAGGAAAACCTTTATTTTTATATGTTGGCTCTCATCCTTCTCAACTAGAACCTGCATGGGAGGATATGAACTTATGGTATCAGGTTCAGAGGCAGACTAAAATATTGACTGTGATGAAGCAGAGAGGTCTGTCTAGCAAGTATCTGCCTCAGCTGGTGGCATCTGGGAGGATAATTCACCCTGGTCAGTGCCTTAGACCAAGTTCTGGGGGAAACTGTGACCATCCTTGGTGTGGAACTCCAATCCTTGTAACCAGCCCAGTTGGAAAATCAGTTGCTAACATGATAAGAGATGGGCAATTTGGTCCAGATGAGGCTCTCAGGTGCTGCCATGACTGTTTATCAGCACTATCTGCTGCTGCTGCTGCTGGAATTCGGCATGGAGATATCTGTCCAGAGAATGTTATCCGTGTAAGCTCTGGTGTTAGGCACCCTTATGTTCTTATTGGATGGGGTCATGCTGTATTAGAAGAGAGGGATCGTCCAGCCATGAATCTTCTTTTCTCTTCTACTTATGCTCTTCAAGAAGGTAAGTTATGCTCAGCTTCAGATGCAGAGAGTCTGGTCTATTTGCTTTATTTTTCATTGGGTGGTGTTATGCCAGAGTTGGATTCAGTTGAGGGGGCACTGCAGTGGAGGGAAAACTCATGGTCAAGAAGGTTGATTCAGCAAAAGCTTGGGGACATTTCGGCTGTGTTGAAAGCATTTGCTGACTATGTTGACAGTCTCTGTGGGACACCATATCCCATGGACTTTGAGATATGGTTGAGAAGGTTGAAGAGAAATATTAATGAAGATCACGGGAAGGAAATAGACACAATGGGTTAGGACATCTTCATTCTAATTTAGCCACACAATGGCTGCTTGAGCCCTCTGGAGCATCTGGAACATTGTTGAGACATGTTTGGATTTTCGAGAGGTCTCTGAGACTTGAACCAGATATGAGCATTATTATAGTCCAGAATATGTTTTCCTCAGGTTAAGTTTTTCTGTCTCTGTCAAGATTTTAATTGAACTTTTTGAATCACCAAGGACTAAGACAAACTACTGGAGCAATTGACCATCTTTGTTCTTTCATTTATTGGTTGGGTTCTTTTTCCCCCAAGGGAATTTCTGGACCTTCTGTTGGAATTGCTTGGATATTCTCTACCACATTGTTTCAGGGTTCTCCACAATTGGGTTTCTACAAACCACCTTTGATGTTCACATACAGTTCCTCCCTGTTCTTGAAGGGGATCTTCAAATGAACCTCCCGAGCTTGTCACGTACCATCATCCAGGTTATACTATATTGATGCCTATTTTTACTTTGTAAAGATCTGAAATGTTCAGAATTTCTTGAACTTGTTGGTCTAATTGTTTGGTTTGAGGTACAAGGACCAGCATGAGTGTCTATAGCATTCAGAGTTGTCCTCTGTAAGTGGGTGGTTGATTTTTGTGTTTTTCTGGTGTTTCTATAGAGTTATCTTGATCAATGCTTTCTGAGGCAAATTATGTCTCGTGTCTTTCTTGTGGCCGTGCAATTTAATGTTTTTGTAGGCTTTGCAACTCTTTGTACAAGCGCTTGTTGCAGCTTTGTCTGTTCAAATGCTGTTTTATAATATATCAACACTTCAACAGTAACCACTTGGTCATCCTTGCTGGAGTCTGGAGTTTGGAGAGAGGATAGCAAGCTTCAGAAGGTTTTCTGTTTCTGATATTGCCAGGGGGGACAATTAGTTCATCTAATTGAAGCAAGAATAAAGAACTCAATCGTAATGACAGACCAAGAGCTGGGGTTGTCATGTGGGTGGGTCCAGGTCTTTTCGGGTCAGGATTCCCCAAATGACAGAGGTGGTTCCAGACCCGATGCACCAAACAATCAGTACTTCCTTTTACACAGAAACGCTAAAAACAAAAGGGGACAGGTGAAATTGCGTTCGTCTATAAATTTCAACCCTAAGGGAAATCTCTTGTCTTCTACTTTTTCTTGGAGAAAAGGTTGGGTCAGGGGGGGATGAAGACCCATCGTTCAAAAGGGTCCCACCTTGAGGATTTATTGGGGATAAAATTCAGCTTAAGTTCTGACCAGAATGTGTATTTTTAAGCAAAAATCTTGTGGTCTAATGACATCTGTCAAAGCTCTTTTTGTTAGGTTGGACCTATCCAATGTGGGTCCTGATATTCTGACCATAATTAGTGGTCCCATGCGTTTAGACCTGACCTCGTTCCATTTCTTCTATAAATTTCAAGACTCCATACTTTACCAGACAATCAAGACCAGGATTAGACCCAATTTCCAAAAGGGTCTTAAATTAGACCCATTTATCCAATGCTTTGGGGCTCAGTCCTATTAATCTGAGAGACCAATATCCAATGTATGTTGGCACCCATTGATACCAGTACCATGAAAGTCATGGGCCAATTATTCTGTTACTTTCATGGTTGTGCATTTATTTTCTTCGGTAGATATCAGTTTTGGATGCTTTTGGTAGCTATGATGCCTTGCTGGCAGGCCATTAGCCAGTAGCCACAATAAGCTTGCTCTAAACCCAATGTTTCATAAGACTCTGTCTGGTTGCAGTGCAAAATTCATTTACACTGGTGTGAATGCCTGGGAATGCAAATGGGTTGGGTATAAGTTTTTGTTTACTTTTGCTTCAAGTTTGATTTTTGTTTTATTTGTTTGTGAGGAGTAGAAAAAAGTAAAATAATGTGGTCTTCAATTTATATGAAAGAGAATGGAAGCAGAACATAGTTGTCAAGGTGACACCCATGGATGGTCACCTTGCTTAATTGCCTACCTGTTTTGTACATATTGCTATGGAAGATTTTTATATTTTATATTTTTTGAGATTATAATAATAAAATTGATATTATTAACCTAAAATATTTATTTTGTAGGTTTATATACTAGTTTCTTTTTATTATTTTGTATTTGTTAGATTCAATCAACACTTAAAATTTTGTCAAATCAGTTTCTCTGTCCTCATCATCTTCTTTTTTCTCCTTCCACCCTTTCTTTTCTTCGTTTTCTAGGACAAAAAACAGGGGGATTAGCCCCTATATTTTCTTCTTTTTCTTCTCATGAATATATGATTTTCTATGTTTTAATATATTTTTTTGAACCCTGATGTTCTATTTTAATATGAAGCTTATACCATTTTCCGGAGATTATAGATAATCATTAATGAAAGATTATTGATGGTTGCTATGAACCTAGGGATATTACCATAGGATTTATGGTTATTTAAAGAATTCCATTGCCTAGGCGACTAGGCAACAAGATGCCTCCCTTGTTGCTTAGCCTTACTTTGTCGCCTTGAAGACTATGGGTAGGAGGAAAATTGTTTGTTGGGGAGGAGTAAAATGATGTAGTCTGCACTTTACATGAGATAGAGTAAGATAGAAGGCAGTGCAAATGAGACAAAAACTACAAATTTTGCATTAGGTAATGACAGTTCTGTCTGCATGAGACATCCAATTATCCAACCAACATTGATAGATTAGTAGTAGAAGGCGTTAATGAAGCATCCTACCATTAGACCGGGAGCTGAAAGTCGAATTGTTTTTTAAGAAAATGGTCCACTTCAGGTCTTTTTTTAGCCCCTCTAAATCCTTTTTTGCATTTTTGTTTCAATGAGTCCAATAGTCGAACCAAACAGAGGGACTGTTTGACCTGTGACCCAGTCACTAAAATACCTTTCGGAATAATTTAGAAAATTTAAGGTTTTATTTGAGTTCAGGATCATTTTATAAGAATTAATCCCGTAAACCTGGAAGATCGAAAATAGATTACGTAATAAAGGGTGTAAAGTGGGTATGGTCTTAGGGTGTCCAAAACCAACAGCTGATCATCACACACTGTCCCAGATGAAAATGTTAGATTGATGCATCATTTTTTTTTCAAATACCCATTCTACCCTTTTATAAATTATTTTACATACAAAATTACTGAAATAACCCCATTTTATTCAACAAAAACCTCTTTTAACAATCATTTCAGTAGTTTTACATACAAAATTACTGAAATGTCTTTTTTGTTGAATTAAAATGTGATTATTTCAATAATTTTGTATGTAAAATAATTTATAAAATGGTAGAATGGATATTTGAAAAAAACTGGTGCATCAATCTAATGTTTTCAGTCTGGGACAGTAACAGAAGGGAGGTTTTTGTCGAGTTTCTCAAAAATTCAGGAGAGGTATTTATTAAAATGAAACTATAGGGGATGTTTTTGTAATTTACCCTTATTATTATTATTATTGGCATTGTCTATCATCATGCCCATCTTGTTAGGTGGGAGATTGGTTTCTTAGACTGTTGTTGCACACATGCTCAACCTTAACCAACAAAAAAATAAGATTTTCATCATCATCATTATTATTATTATTGTCGATCATCATGGCCACCTTGTTAGGTGGGAGATTGGCTTCTGAGACTGCTGTACAATCAGAAGTGGGGACAGAGCTGGGTGCACATGAGACCCACTGGCCATAGCAGTGAAAGCTTGCAGTTCAGGTTTGATCCCACACCTCTTGTTTTGCAGTTCCACGGATTTAATCCATGGATCTACTAATCCAGCAAAAAAAACAATCATGCTCCAATAACAAATAAATATATCCTTGAATTTCAAATGCCAAAATATGTAAATCTTCATCTACTGAATGTTGAAAGATTAAATGACGAAAATGCATCCTTTTTATAAAGATGGGAAGCCTCCTGAAAATGAGAAAATGTGTTGAAAAAGAAGCCCTATTCCACTGTATCAAACCATTACAAGGACACGATGCAACAATACCAACTGGCACGTGTGGAATGAATGGCAATAACCCCATTCCACCCATGCTACATGATGATCTCTATGGAAATATATAATTATAAGATACGAGTCGATATTATTGTATCGACATTTTAAACAATGAAGTCATCAAGGTTCAAAATATCACAAATATATTGGTGCTTACAGAGTTACAGGTCAATTTTTGAACCCCCTACACAGAATTAGGGACAGGTTATTACTTTAAATAACATTAATAGTTGACTATTAACAGTAACCTAATGGATGTTAACTGAAACTAATGTTATTTAGTAGCCAAGCTATCTTTGAGTTATGAAACGTTGAAAATGGTAAAAGAAATTGGGAAATATGGTTTAAAAGTTAAAAGATACAAAATATCAATATGCATATACAATAATGATTAAAATATTGATATATTTTCTGATTATATTAAATTGGGCATTATTCTATAGATTTGTATTCAACATTTTAACTTCAATAGTTCAATTAAATTATAACCCTTTATTTATTCTTCTATCTCATTCCTGAATAAATTGTTATTTGTATCGACTTATTTATACATCTCCACCAAACAGGTTAAAGGTCTGTTTAGTTCACAGTTGGAACCAGAACTGGAATCCATTGAAATTGGAATCAGAATGGTCTATTTCTCCCGCCCGTCCGATTCAAGCAAGGGGAGGAAATGACCATTCCCTACTCCCACAAACCAAACAGACCCTAATATTTCCAATTCAAGTTTTCAACTTCTAGCCCCAAGTGACATGCTTGAAGACAAGATTCTTCACCATTATCCAATTACACTACCAATTTGTTGTAATGCTATGATCTAAACTTCAAGTCCTGAAGGATAAACCCTATTCAACATTCATCCAGAAAATCCAGCCAAGTAGCCAATTCCAAAGGCAGCAAGTTCAATGATTGCATTTATCCTAGATTCTTATCATTCTGGACTTGTGTGGTCAAATCAGCCAATACAGAGGGCAAGAACCAGATTAAAATTTGAGCCTAAAAAATACGCCAGAATTTGACAATCTGTTTTTCAATTGTTTTCCAGAAACAAAATCCATGGAGAATGTGGAAAGTGTACTGTTCTTACACAAGAAGCCCTTACAAGTTACAACACCTTAACGTGATACCTGCCCTGTAAGGCTAGAGAGGATCGGTATCAAAAGGCTAAAGTGGGGAAGGTGGTACAAGTGTCTTCCTCATGGAACAGATTTTGTTGGGAGATTATCAGAGCATGGCCTAATTTAATATTTTGCCATGCATATAGTTTTCTTATAGTTTTACAGAGAAAAAAAGGGGTCTAGATCTGTTGACGGAATCTGCACCATTTCACGGTAAACGTTTTGGAAGATAATGGAAGAATCATTTCATCATCCATATGAATATAATAAAAACGCAGTTATCATGAAGTTGAGAGCTACAAGAACCCTGGTCAGCTGTTGCAAGCAAAGATAATAAGAACCTTGGTTTTCAGGTGTTCTCAAAGTCAAAGAAGACAAACAAAGATTATTTATGGCTTCAAGCATTAAGACCTAGAACTCACTACAAATGAACTCTTGAAGCTACCATATTTGATCTAGCTACAGGGATCTAGAATCTTTAATCCAGGGTTTCAAGTGGCTATTCAAATAAACGAGTTGTTCAGATCCAAAGTCAGCACTGCCTCGACATTATAAACCTGCAATACTAGCTTTTCATTTCCCTTGCGCCGAGACCCATGAAGGATCCAATGTCCAATGGTCTGTAACCCCCTAAGACCTTACCCTGGGCGGCAGATTTTGATATGTCCATATTAGCAACCCCACAAAACTAAAAAAAAAAAGGCAAGGTACAAAGACAAAAGAGCTGAAAAGAAGAGAAAAATAAAATAAAAAGATACAGCTTCCTACACAACCAAGACAACGGTACTTCTATCACAGATGGACAATGTTCTTTTATTTTATCAATCTGCATCCATTTCTTCTAATGCAGCCTTGGCTGCTGCCTTGGCTTCCTCTAAGAGATCATCTGGAACCTGAAATTTCAAAAGCAAATAAATGAATACAAGAATAAAAGTATAAAACCAAAGATATGATTCTTGAACTTGGTTGCTAAAACCCACTGCATAGGTTTAAAGAAAAAGAAATTCCAACTCCACTTTGTTTAAACAAGTGACTAACTCAATATCCTTTTTTTTTCACTGAGTTGCACATTAAAAATGATAATTTGCATTTTTTTGTTACAATTGTTTGAATAGTTGAAGATCAAAATAAGCAGATCAACGCATAAAATTACTAATTGTTTATATTGCAACTCCATGGTGTAATCATATAAAAAGAGAAAACCTAGCATTCATTTGTCCCTCAAACCTAGTCAACCCCCCCCCCCCAGCTAAAAAAAAAAAAAGAAAAAGAAAAAATCCATCATGACTTGAGCATTCCCTGCTGCTTCATCATCACACTACCAAATCAAGGTTTGTGAGCTCCCATTTCACTTATTATTGCACCTATTATATATTTTAGGGCTGCAAAATGGCATCCGATTGTCCAAATTCGATCTGTTTATAAATGGATCAAGTATGGATAAACCCTTCCCAATCTAATAAAATCCGATTTGATTTAACAATCAATTTATAATATTTTGATCCATTTGCAGCCCTAATATATATTCAATGCTTTTGAATGATACCTATGACACCATTACATTTACTTTACAAAGACAGCGAGGTCTACCAGGATACAATTTTACCTTTTGATGTTGTCGATTTGACTCATCGCAGACCCAGCTCATCTCCAATTCGAAGGCTTTGTCCTTTGCCTCATCATGTACTCCATAAATGCTGCATACCAGATATGCAAACGAAAAAAGTGAAGGAATTTTATCAAACAAGTAAAATTGCAAATAAAATAAACATGGTCAAAGCAAATAGTTTCTCCAGTTCCAATTGGACTCGTCTCCATTTTTTAAGTGAAGGGAGTTCCTTAAGTTCTTTTGCAAGACAAAAGTTAAAAACTGCTACGTAGTAATTGGTAAAACTTAGAATAGGATGCAGTAAATGGCCATGAGAAACAGTGAGTCTTCCTGACGATTTTCAATCAAAACAGCTGATTCTGTGATAACTTCAAGGTTCAGTATATTAGATTAGCCTTTCAAATTTATTGGCACACAAGCATCAAATAAGCATAATGTTATTTCTATGAGTTTCAGTTGAGTCTGATGACAAAATAAGAAACCAATGGAATGGAAAGAATTCAAACTATAAAAGCTCTCACATGCACAGATGTAGGTGAGTGGGTGCAAGCATGTGTAAAAGCAATCCAGATCTGCAGCACTTGTTGTGCACTTGCATTGAGTCATTGACAGGTGTCCAATATGCACAGGTACTTGCAAGTGTAATGGAAGTTGGGACACCTGTCACAGACTCAAATGCAAGTGCATGGCAAGCTCACTGCAAACAAGTGCAGGACTCATATAAAAGTGTGTATGTGTTCACACACGCACAAGCATATGCATGTGTGCGTGAGCAAGAGAGATTTCTATTCTAGCCTAAAATAAAATTATTCTTCAACCTAGAGATAAGAAATACTTAGATTGTTTGACTATCTGAGTCAAATAGTTTCAGAACATGAATGATTTAAACAAATTAGAGTTACAATGTTTTTCATTTCAAAGTAGAGGGGGTGCCTTAGTAATACACAAACTATAGGGTAGGTCTTAGTAATTAGGTGGAACTATAGAGGGTGTCTTAGTAATGACCCTAAAATAAAATAAAAATTTGAAGCTTTGGACGATATATATCACAGTCACCCTCCAAACACCTTAGCCCCTCTTTTCTGGCATTGCATAATCCATTTACATCCCAGCCCTTTGAACTCCAGACCTCACCAWGGTGTCTGCTAGATCATTTGCTAATCTCATAATCCATCATAATGAAGTTCTAGCCTATAATGTACTGGGAATCACCTTCAATTTCCAACCTATCAAGCTGAAACTTCTAGTTATTTCGAGTCCTTGCAGTAAGGAAAAATGTTGAGCACAAAGAAGCGCCCCCTCCCCCATGCTCACAGTCACCCTCCAAACACCTTAGCCCCTCTTTTCTGGCATTGCATAATCCATTTACATCCCAGCCCTTTGAACTCCAGACCTCACCATGGTGTCTGCTAGATCATTTGCTAATCTCATAATCCATCATAATGAAGTTCTAGCCTATAATGTACTGGGAATCACCTTCAATTTCCAACCTATCAAGCTGAAACTTCTAGTTATTTYGAGTCCTTGCAGTAAGGAAAAATGTTGAGCACAAAGAAGCGCCCCCTCCCCCATGCTCAGGTCAGATTCTCATGTTTCCATCTATATGTATAAGTACAGAAATAAAATGGCAATATGGAGGGAAATCATAGGTAAAATAATGAAGGTGAGCATTAATTACTATATCAAGTCAAGCATAAACAATGATAACAGAAACCACTCACATCTTTGCAACTTCAATGACACCTTGCCTGCATGTCATTTCAGAAAGTTTCAACTTTTCGATCTCTCTGTCGACACCATCAACTAACCATATCAGCACAATTATTAAATGAACTAAGTCAGATCATATATAAATAAGACAATCAAACCCTACAAGAGGGATTATAATAATAAGAGATATGTTAAGAGGAGGAAAAGGTCAAAAGAATAAATCCCATTTTTGTTCAAGCACTAAACATATGTAATGTTGCTCTTACTCCTAATCTCATTGAAGGCCACAAAATAAGGAATTACTAAATTCTTAACGAGCCTTAAAACAGTCTGGCAATGACATACAATATGCAATGCACATGCTGAACACAATTACTCTAAACTAAGCTCACCAAAATTTTAATCAACTTGACCACTACAACCATCCAACATATGATTCAGACCATTCTCTATATTGGCTTTTATTTAATTATTAATTATTTTAACAGGCATTACAGGAAGTCCATTGTATGTATATGTACCATTTGCACCACTAAGCCATTGTTGAACAATTATTAGAGTTTGGCTAACAATATTAACTTAGATTCATTTAGAAAGATGTACTATAACTAATCCTTTTTCCAAAAAAAAAAAATGTACTATAACTAACTTACGTTTTAGCTGCTTGCCTCCCCTTTCCAATTGCAGCACCAAAGTACCTCTAGAACAATTTCACAATGTAAATTGGTAAATTAGAAGGGATCTTAGATACACAACTACATAATCCAAAATACATGTTTGTGCAAACAGATAAAAAATAACGAGGAAAGAAGTATACAGTAACAACTCAGCTTAGAAAAAGAAAAAGAGGAAGCAAAGAGAACTTCTTTTATGAGATTACATGAGAAAGAAAGGAGCATCATTTGTCTATGTATGCCTTTTTTTTGCTCCACGGGGCTACACAACGGGGTTAGCCCATCCCCCAAACATAGTGCAGGATTCGATTCCAAGCCTCTGCTACAACCAGCAGGAGGCCTTGCCAATCAATCACTTGGCACCTTGCATTTGACTATGTATGCCTTTTTATCATCAACCAGATTAACAGAAATTTTAACAGCATCAAATAAGGCAAGTAAAATAATCAAATGAGCACCGTTTGTCCAACAGCTATAAGTTTTAACTCACATAGGAAACACCAGAAGGCTCAATCATGTATAGTTGTGGTCCTTCTCTGTCATAGCCTCCAAGAATTACTCCACATCCAAAAGGTCTGCATAAATGTTGATTCTTTTCATCAAGAAAAAAACAAAATTGGCAATGTAAAGGGAGGAAAGGAATGAAAATGTATCATAATTGAAATGTAATTATCTATCGTTACAAACCTGAGCCACCAATAAAGTGTACATAAATGCACATAACTAGCAACACGTTCAGCAAGTTCTTTCACAGGTATGGAATCACCATAAACACTGCACAACAAAAAACATCATAATCTGTAAATGAACATTTGGAGAGATATTTAGAAAATTTAATAACTAAAAACCCAGATAGAAATGCAGAAAATCTAATACATACACACACACACACACACACACACACACACATATATATATATATATATATATATATATATATATGCTGATATTATCATTTAGAAAGTTCAACGTTCTTGTTGACCACAGAGATAAGGAGAAAAGACATACAGATAGCACAAGAAATGACAAAAAAAAAAACATTGTACAAATAAGCATTCGGCACATAAAATTGGTGGCTGAAGTAAATAATGGGGAAGTCAAATGGCCAACAATGGGCTACATAACTTTTTCTTTTATCAAATAGTTCCAGTATTTTTACAGCAGCAGTATTTGTATTATTTTCTATTTATTGGTTGTGGAGACTCGATGTTATGACTTATGAGTTCATTTAACTATTTAATTATTTTTTGATAAGTGCTAACTTTTGAATTAGTCAAGAAGCTTCATCATAACTGACTTAAAACTCATTCATAACAAAGAACTTTGTTGCTCATTTTTCCCCCCAAAATCAACAATAAAGGATAAAAAACAAAGCACCTGGCAGCAAACCAAACAGGACCTAAGCACCTTCTAAGGCAACAAGGCCCCTTCCCGTGCAACAAGACTTGCAATTCACAAGATATCTTAATATAATAATTTTTGAGAAATGGTAATTTTCATTGCCAAAGAAAATCTTAATGTAATAATATTATTACTATGGATGCATTTTATTACTTATAAGAATGTGCTGATGCATCCTATTACATATGCTCTCTTTTAGGATTTTAAAAGCATAAAGGATCCAAAGATTTTGAGATGAGAGAAAGAAACAAAACATGGATTAAATAGGCATCTGTTTTTTGTTTCAATTACGCTTTCACACATTAAATAGAATAGGGGCTCCACCTGTGTTCTTCTTTTCCTTTTGTTATTCTCTCTTCAATCTTTTATTAATATAAAATTAAAGCCTTCTTTAGTTGCTAATACTTTTTTATATGAAATTCTTCAATAAAATATGAACTATTTTAATGCCATGTTTCATATATTGAAATTAATAGATTCAAAATACTATTTTCTCATAGATATGATGATTTGTCATGGCTAGAGATAAAATTCAGTTTCATTTAGTAGAGAGTATTGCTATTTCTTTAATTTATATGCATGCTCTCAACAATCAACATTATGGCTAAAAGCCTAAAACCTCTGTTTCAGCAGAAGTTCCACTGAGCTTAATCATACTTAGACCAACTCAACAGTCAGACAGTCAGACCACTATAACCAGGAATCAGCAACAAAAACAGATTTTTAGGCTGTCAGGTTCTGAGAAATGTCGACTTGGACAAACCTACCTCATATATATGTTCTAGAACATGTTACATTAATGCTCTGAAAATCATAATTGTATCATAAATTGTAGAGAAAATTGAATCAAATCATATTATAAAACATAAAATTAGTTCTGCTTTTTACAAATTGGTCAGAAAATTATAAATAGATATACTTAAAATCTAAATATATAGTGAAAGCTATTTTTACCCTATTTTAATCCATATCTACTATGTGTACCTAAAACAATAGAATTTATCACTTCTACACTAGGAGCCACAGATGATATCAGCAAGTTCAACTTAAAAGTCAAATAATCCACATATAATGGTTGTTTAAACTATATATGACAGAAAATAAACTCAACATGGTTTCTAAAAGGTGATAAATACTTATATAAATCATTTTCTACAAAGGACTTTAGAACAAGTCTGGAACAAAGAAATGACAAAGTAGAGTTGATTTGAACCGTATAAATCATATAGATCATAGCATTAATTTAAGGTTTTTACAAAATATGATTCCAACATAAAATTCAAATCAAAGGCCTTGAGGTTCATTTCTCTTGATACAAATTATGAATTGTATCATAAGTTGTAATATTTTCACAACTATAGTTATAGCCTATAATATTTATTGTTTTGTTGATGAATTCCTATAATATTTATTGTTTTAAGCTAATTTTAATACAAAATAGATTTAAAAGATAATAGGAACTATTTTCTATTATTTAATTTTTCCTTCTTGGAATTTTTAATTGAAAAATTTGAACAACCAAACCAAACAGTCAAACCATTTAAACTACGACTTAGTGACAATCAGTTTTGGGTCGAGTCTAGGTCTAACAATGTTCACCAATTAGGCTGCAAACACTAGAGGACATTGCTCTATGTCCAAGTTATTCATCTACAACCAATATTTTTTTTCTGAGAAAAAGTTACCATATTACAAAGAAGGATTGTCTACTCATTTACGATCAAATCCTTTTGTGATAGACGTGTCTCAATGCCTCCAATATGCCACATAGGAATAGGATAGCTTCAAATTAGGCCCAAGTTGCTGCTCTAACTCAATTCAGTTCTTGTCAAAAAATTTGAATGGGCATTGCGAAAGGACCTAGACCCGATGTTGTGTAAATTTTTTTCTTTGAGAAAAGGTAAATTCTCAAAGTTGGGCACCCAACTTGCACCCCCCTAAATAGGGTGTATATCTATATTAGAGTGTAAATTATTCCATGTCTTGGCTAAGGTGTAGAACCATTTTTATTGGTGCCTTTTTAAACATTATTATATCTGGAAAGGAATGAATTATGTAATATGCCAAGCATCCCTGTGCATGGGATAGCAAGTAGTCACCTCCTTTCTCTTCATATTATAATTGAGCCCAATATAATTGATCTGTTATTGAGTCATCATGACCAAACGGGCTCAAATATATTGTTAATATGCTTTGATGTTCATCCCTAAACACCCTACCTATTCTTGAGGGTCCTGGTAGGGGTGTCAATGGACCGGCTTTGGATTGGATGGGGTCCAATCCAAAATCAATTTGAACGGATTGGATGGACCAACAAGACATATTGAAGTGGACCAGTCCAGACTTAATGGTCCAAATTATTTATTGGATTGGATTGGACCTAGTCCATCTGTAATGAATTTATATTGGATTGGATTGGATTGATAGAAGATAAGAATATAGGTGTCAATGGACCTGGATTAAAACCAATCTAAATTAAAAGAAATTTGAACAGATTGGACAGTCAAGATATTGAATTGGACCGATCCAAAATGGTCCAAAATATTCATTGGATTGGATTGGATTGGACCTGGTACATTTGTAATGGACTCACATTGGACTGGATCGGATTGGACCAAATCCAGTCCAATTGACACCCCTAGGTCCTGGATTCATCATACTATACCCATCAAAGCTCAAATTTACTTGATTAGCACTTGATGGATTGTGTTGTACTTGGGTCCAGTTGAAGAAGCAGACAACTCATTGCCATCCTCCAAGGATATCATCCATTGAAAACAGACCAAAATTATACAAGGTTTTTATTCAATACATGACTTTCACTGCAATATTTTCAATGATTGCTTCCTTGCTACATTGCGTTCCCATTGAAAATCCTCTCATTTCTTTCTTCCCTTATTGTCCATACCACCACTGTCCTTGCACATCCTCATAAGACTTTCACTCTCCTCCTTGGCAACATGAAAAAGCTTGATTTAAATAAACTTACACATTAATGGATAGGGTTATCTCCAACCCAGTAGAAAAAATAACCATTCCAAAAGATTGTAAAGAAACTTACCAATTCATGAATAAACTCTCATTTCTTTCCCTCTTCATGAATTTACCAATTCGATGGTTATTATTGATAGGTTGATAATGTTAGTAATGTATAGTTTTATCTATGGAAAAAGATTGTAAAGAAACTTCCAGGCTTTACACCATAAGAAAATTTTATACCTGTTATATCCTTAAACAAGTTTTCTTATTCCACTTTTCCCTATTAATCCGAATTTTGGGCTTCTTTCTTTTTCAGAGAGATTTTTGTTCAATCAACTCCATGAGTGATAATTGGCCGTCAATCAACTAGTAAGTCTTGGTACAAAGCAGTTAATAGAAATACATTGAGTGAGTGATGCAGATCTAAAAAAATATGCAGAAAGATGTCAACTTATGAATTCATTTTGGGGCTGAAACTTTTTATCAATTAAACCGGTTGTTAATTAAAACAACAATAAGATATAGAGTCTCCAACCTGATATTACAGTGTATGCATCTGTTTCCATCTATTGATTGTAAAGTAAGAAGATTTTTATTGAGAAATGCACTAAACAAAGCAATTCACCCAGGAAACAACTAACACCGAAACATAGATTTTTTTTTTTTTGTGAAAACAATCATCAAAACAATTTGGAACTGATGTGGAAAATGATCCATAGAGACATGGAATTGTATCTATTCAGAAAAAGATCCTAATGCACCAGGGATAGAGTAAGTTGATACAAGCTAGAATTAACCCTGTTCCAGCCCTCAAATAAATTGTGATCCCATATTACAAAGAAGTTGTAATCAGAGAGAGAGAAATATAGAAAGAAGGGAAAGAGTAGAGAGAGAGAGAGAGAACAAGAAACCCCAAGGTACCACTCCAAGAGACTTAGAATCACTCTAGAGTTTTAGGGAATCACTCCATACAATTACAGCAAGCTTGCAAAAGAGCTCTAAGAAACCTACACTGGCTTCAAAATGAAGAGAATACATCTATTTATAGAGTGACTTTTGTGGCCGAGAATATGTTCATCATAATTACCAAAATGACACTGCCTATCTTGTGCATCAAGAAACTCAATAGCTTTCCACCTAGTAATGCAATGGAACTGAAAATTAAAAGAAAAATCTTACTAAACCAAGATCAAATCACAAGCTGAATGGATCCCCCCCCCGGATGGTGTGGTAAAATTGAATTTAGATGGTAGCTGCCAAGGTAACCCAGGGCCATCGGGAATAGGTGGGATTCTGAGAGACAAAGACAGCAATATGTTGTCTCTATTTTCAGGACCAGTGGGTGAAAGGTGAGTGAAAGGTGAGTGAAAGGTGATTCAGTAAGGGCAGAGCTACTAGCAGCGGTACAAGGTATACAGATGGCTAGTCAAATTGGAGTGACCAATCTGCTAGTAGAAGGGGATTCCAAGGTAGTAGTAGGCTGGCTAATCAGCCCAGAAACAGCCTGTTGGGGCTACAGGGATCTGTTAAAGAAAGTTAAATGGATGACAAGGAATATGACTGTCAAGTTTCAGTGGGTCAGAAGATCAGCAAATGCAATGGCTGATTCTTTGGCCAAGCAAGGGGTGTCAAGGGGAGATCTATTTTGGGCTACTTTGTAATCATGTCTCAGGCCTGGGCAGTTTTGGTGTTTCAGTCCTAGGGGGGTAACACCTCGTGCCTCCTCCTAGGCTGATTGTATTATTGATATTTGATTTAATAAAACTACTTTCATTCATAAAAAAAAAAAAAAAAGAAAAATCTTACTAAATTAGAAGAACAAGATATCATGGGCCAGGCCGACATAGAACTGGTCCAATGACAAAAATACCCCTAGTGTCCAAAAATACAGAAATACATAAAATTTCAGAAAGTTCCAATTTTGACTCTTCAGTTCCTGCATCAAATCCAAGGTGTGGCAAAGAGAATGAGAAAATTCATGAAGAAAGATAACCACAGAGTAGAAATAGAAAATGATGCCATGTGAAAATTAAAAAAGAAAATGGGGAGCCGGGGGGATGAAATAACAAGTTATAAAACAGAAGTGGAGAAAGAGCATAAATATCCAAAAAAAAAGTGTTGAATTAATTGTAGAAAATCAAAATGAAAAGGAAAACTAAGTAGAAAAAAGGAACTGAAAAAAAAACAAGGAATGACACTGAAAAAGAAATAAGCAAAAAAAAAACTAATGGGATATCACAAAAAGAATATTAGCAACTCAAACATAGCATTTAACTAGCAAATTTCTTCCCATTTCTCAAGGATATTTTGAGCCTCACTTCTCATTTGTTCTTTTCATTCACTTCACTGCCTGTTTGAGCTCCATACTTTAGTTAGCCTTTATAAACAAGTGAAACATATGCATGTAAATTATAAATATATTTATGTATTTATATAGTTGCAAAAACAATCCACACAAACAAGCACAAAGAATTTTGACCATATCTATGGTTTGATATGTCTAAAAAGTCATATTTCATGACGCTACCTCTCATAGTTAGTTGCCTCAGCTTTGGCTCGTGCAACAATTTGCCTCCCATCTGCTGCTAAGCCAGCCACAGCCTGTAAGAGTACAGAGAAAAGTCAGATACATTTAACCTAATATGCAAATAGGCAATATTACAACAATAAATTCCTCTTTCATTAAAAATTCTTCATAATTTGCTTGATAGTTAATCTCAGTTCGGAGCTTAGGGGTCGTTTGATTGCACTTTTTAGAGGTCTGAATCTGAAAATGCTACTTTTCAGACCTCACCCCTTGTTTGGTTTTACCTCTTAAAATTGGTCTGAATCTTATTTTCAGATCTGAAAATAATAGACCTTGGGCCGGCTCTTAACGCGCTCAGACGCATTTCAGTATTTTGGAAATGACACGAGTTACCCCTGATAACCCCAAACCCAGAAAACCTAAACATTCGACCTCTCTCTCTCTCTCCACCCTGTCTTCCCGCCACCACCGCTGTAAGTTGCAGTGGCGGCTCTCTCTCTCTCTCTCTTGTCTTCCTGCCATCGCCGCTGCAACATGCAGCAGCGGTGGTTCAGTGAATAATAATAATATTTTTATTAATTATTAATTATTTTAATGCTTTTATAGTCATTAATTATTTTTCTAATTTTAATTGTTTCATTTATTAATTAGTAATTATTAATTTTTTATTTTTTATTTGTATTGTTTCAATATTATTTTGAGGTTGAAAATTATTTTTTATGAGATAATGCAAATTRAAYTCAAYATTTMHAAATARTATRTTHTAGGGGTAAAATAGTAAAATCAGTAAATTTCAGATGGTAAAGGGTTGATCCAACACAAACAAACTTATGGATTCAGATCCTCTAAAAAGTAGAAAAGCATCTATGCCTCTTTTCAGATTTCAGACACTTTTAATATCTTTTTAACTTTTCAGATCTGAATTTTCAGATTTATCAAATGCCACCTTAATATTAATAACACAAAGACACATTACCAAGTTATAGATTAAACTCTAAGCCATGCCTAGGCTAAAACTAATGCAGGGAAGAAGGCATTCACAGCCATTCTACTACAATTATTAATGTTTCAGACCTGATAAGAGGGTTAGGTTAAGCTTTCCTACATGACACTGCCTATTTCTGCAGATTACCACATGAAATGATCCTGTCGCCATGGTTTACAAAAAAATTGATTACCTCTAAATATTTCGATGATAATTCAAATTTTTTGATATACCAATGTAAATCACTTTACCAAGTAAAAATATTCCAAATTACAACAAAATCTTGAGGAAATGTGACCATCATCATCATATCTAATTCTTGTCCTAACTATATGGGGTTGGCAACATCCTGCTTTGCCATTCCGTTCTGTTCCTTAAGAAATGTCACCAATTTTTCTAAAATCAGCTGAAAAAATTTCTGAGACATGGAAAATGCTTAAGCCATTCTGCACAAAATTAAAACAAAGGTATTTGGAGTTGATTCTACACATTGGAATGAACAACTCTAACTAATAATGGGAAATTATCTAAAGCCCACCAATCAAAAAAAAAAAAATCTAAAACTTCCTCTGATTTTAGTAACAATGGCTTAAACCACAACTTTTAGATACCTAAAAGACTACCCTGTTATAAGGTTATGAGTCACAAAACTTCCTTTCCATTAAATCTCTGTCGGGTCTCATAACAAAAGTAGCACATTTGACTAAGAAATGGTTTCTAAATGACAAAAAATGACCCTGAATTGGCATCATCTCATATAACTTTTCAATGTGATAGTGATACATGTTAACCAACTCAATAACCTTCTACCATCCACACACACACCCACCAAGAAGAAGTTCTACAACTAGGATGCTATCCTGGCAACATCCAAATCTCAGATTTTAACAACATCAACAGTAATAATAAAGTCAGCTATCTATAGAAGGTTTCACAATCTTTCTTCTGCCATCTTATAACAATAGCAAGAGGGTAACGAAAGAAACTCTCTGCTTTCTTATGACTGCATCAAGTCCCTCCCCTACATATTTCTAAAGGATAAAAATAGCAGACTGAACTTCCAATGGTTGCAATGGAAAGAAAGCTTGAAGAAAGGTGTAATTGGAGGAGAGATGTGGGATGAAAATGGTGATGGACAGGAGGAAGTGTTTGAAGGGGAAGATTAGGGTCCTGGTTTCGCTAGGTTCTGTATGCTTGCCCACAATGCAGGTGGGCAAATGTGGAAGTTGGTTGAGGGTCTAGTCCTGGAGTTGTTTGCTCTCTATATTGCTAGAGTTATGTAGTATGCTGTCTTTTTGTAATAATTTGTATCAGTTTGTTTTTCCTTCTCTCGGGTGATAAGTTATCACCACTTTCTTGTATTCTCTTTTTATTTTAATGAAATTATTAGTTACTTTTCAAACAAAAAAAAAATTGATAGGAAAATATTACCAAACTAACAATAGCATTTCCATAGAACTGTCAAATACCTGACAACTATCTTCAAAATAAGCATAGAACATATTCCTATGATGTAGGCAGCATTTAATATTCTTGTATTTTCCAATAAACAAATATTCGTACAAATAATACCACAAAGATGGCTCGATGGTGGCTTTTTTTTTCTTAAATTTATCTGAAAAAGAAGTAGTTGCTTGCAGTCTCATGTAGCACTTATGGAGGCCTTGGTTATTTTCTATAGATAATAAAGCATCACAGTGAAAAGAAACTAGGCATGATGGACCTTCATCAAAAGAGGAAAGAGCCTAGAAAACAGCAAAAGGTCAAAAATTAGTGAGATATTATCACAAGAGAAGACTACAGTATAACCACATTTGGCATAAGAGAAGACTACGGCCTATGACAACAATTGGGCAGCTTCAAATAAGAGGGGGAAGCACAAATTAAACTTTGATGGTTGTAGTCTCAGCAACCCTGGACCATCAGGCACGAGGGTTTAATCAGAGACCATGATGGTATGGTATCATCAAGTTGCTGGAGCCCTTAAGGGGTAGGGAACTCTCTAAGTGCGGAGATTAATTCACTCACTCAAGGACTGAAACTGGCATATTCTCTAAGATGTGCTAATCTGATTGTGGAAGGGGACTGCAAAGTAGTCATTAGTTGGCTGGAGAAAGAAGTAGAAGGCCCTTGGCTGTTAAGGCAGAAAATAAGAAAAGCTGAAAGTTTGGCATCTAACCTGAATTGCTAATTCAGAATTCAGATGGATACCTAGATCAGCTAATGCATTGATGAGCTTGCAAGAATGGGGATTAACAAGGATAGCCTTGTGCTGGTCCAGTTGCTGATCTCCTTGTACTGTCTTCTCTATATCAATATTTGAAATAAGAGAAGTTTTCTTAATTAACATAACTGCTTGGTTACCAATCAAAATAAGGGAGACTGATATTCTCTGCTATAACTGCCTCCTCCATGGTAAATGATAAAGATAACAATGAACAACATTACTCTCCAAAGCTCTTGGACAGGTAGGATAATAAGCAACAAACCAGGCCCTGGCTGATGTACTAGCAAAACAAGGAGTGGGAAGAAACCAACTATTTTGGGCTCAGCTGTAACATTGATTAAGAGTTTGAGGAGAGTTAAGAGGGTTTACCTCTCCTCCTTTGTATGCACTTTGTGTATTCTGTTTTAAAATTCTTAATGAAATATGCAGTTATTGATCAAAAAAACAAACCAGGCCATGGCTGGTTTGTCGACACTAGTCTCCCATGGCTAATGAAGTTACTCTTTAAAGTTGCACAGTTATAGATCTTCACCAGGCACTGGCCACCCCCATTTACTCTTATTGCCTTCCATCTTTGCCAAGTTATATGCCATTTGCGGGAAGTTCTCCCCTGAAACTGACTACCAACTTCCACAGGTTTCTCCATTGCTTCTACATTTGACATTTCCCCTTCAAATCTACCCCACCTGACATCCTTGTAAAACCTCTTACAAGTATCATTCCTCATCCTTCAGTTTCTAAGATAAACACATTGACTCTTATTCTGAAACAACACAGACCTTTTAATGACCATGATATGAGCCATTCAAAGGCCTACTCTAAGGGTCAATTGTCAATGGATACCTCATCTGTTAGTGTGTAGTGATGCAAAACCAAAAGTTGAGGAGAGCAGAGTCAAATCCATTCCTTCCTCTGTATGGAATGGAACAAAATGTGCTGTATGTTGACCGGAAATCAGCCACCAAAGGTATATAAACTCAACTCAATTTCGTGGGCTTGCAAATATCTACCACCAAGCCCAAAGCCAGTAAATTGTTGAATTGATCCAAAGACTCACAACATTGAGCCTATTCCAGCAAACCCAATAACTTGGTTTCCAATGGAGCAAGACGGCTTCTGGACCTCTATCATCAGAAGCATATATGGAAGGAACAGTAACGGATGGGCCAGCAACTTGGTGACAACTAGATTCCCTTCGGCCAATCTGTGGAAAGGTATCATGCAAGCCTTCTTTTTTCCTGTTAGCAAAACCTGGTAACACTAACCTCATTAGAATTTGGACAGATATCTGGTGGGGTTCTCAACCTCTGTGTGTCATCTCTAGAGGTGCTTATGGTCTCTCCATTAAATTCAACTTCTGTAGATCCCTTTCAGATCATGAGTCTCGGACTTTCAGGAAATATCCTCCCTTCTCCTTTCTTTAAATGAGGTATTTCTCTTCTGTCATCTCCCAGATAATTGTTTTTGGTTCTTAACCTCCAATGGCTCATTTCACCAAATCTTTCTTCAACCACCTTACTGCTGGCTCCCAACCCATGCCTTCTAGGTTAAAAGAATTTAGCCTCCAGCGGTTCCATCTAAAGTGTCATTCTTTCTTTGGGAAGCTGCTAGGGAGAACATTAACACCTGTGAAGATTCAAAGGAGAAAAGCATCTCTTATCTGTCGCCTCAATTGTGTAATGTACATGAAGGGGACTCTAAGTTGGGGGCGGATTGGTTGAAGAACCTGGAAACAGTAATTTGGGATTACAGGGAGGACAAAAGAGGTTTAAATGGCTCATCAGCAATATGAATATAAGAGTTCAGTGGGGAAGAAGATCAGCTAATGGGTTCGCAGATACTTTGGCTAAACAAGGGGTTTCCAGGGATCATTTGTTTTGGGCTTAGTTGCAATCTTGTTTTCTTGTTTTGTTGTTGTTGTTGTTGTTGTTCAGTGGGTAAAGTTCTATTCTCTTCTACTAAGTTTCCTTTTTAACTATCAAAAAAACAGCAAGTCTATTGGCTATCTCCTCATTAACCGTGTGGTGGCACATAGTTTATGGCAGTTCTTCCTTCATCTTCTACTGGGTCCCACCCAACAATATCTCTACTTTCATCAATCAGTGGCCTTCTTGTAAGTTGGGCTCCAGAGGTAGAAGTAGAACCTTTTCGAGGACTTTAATCCATGTTGTTATGTTGTGTATCTGGGAGGAATGCAACAGAAAAATTTTTTAGAATAAGTTTACTATGATTGAAGGTCTTAAGAGGGAAAGTTTTATCCTGCATCTTCTCTTGGATGCTTTCTAGCAATCAGTTTAAAGGCCTCAACTATGGTGACCTAGACAGGAACTTGATAGAAATTCGGCATCTGCTTATGTTGAATACCAATCCAGCCCAGCTCTCATTCCCAAGCTGGATTCCGATTACATTTTGATGTTTGATGGCATCTGCGCATCAATGTCAGGTCATCCAATTTCGGCCAGTATAGGAGGCCTTATTCATAAGAGGGCTGATACCATTATTTGGGCTTTTAGTGCACCAGCTGCCTCTGCTGATGCATCTAAAGCTTAGGTTAGGGATCTTCTGACTGGCTTGAGAATAGCTAAATCAATCCAAGTCAGATCTCTTGTTGTTAAAGGGGACTCTGGAAATGCTATTGGCTGGGTAGTTCATAATGAGAAGGGCCATTGGAGACTGGCCTATCTTCTTAATGAGATCTGAGACTTGACTTCCTCCTCGTTTTGGTTTTTTAGATGGATACCAAGGAAGCTAAATTCCAATGCTGATTTTTTGGCTAAGTTAGGGGTGGATGGGGCTTTTTTTGTATAGTGTAACTCAATGTCTATATAATTCTAGGTGTTTTCTGGATTTGCTTTGTCCTCTGCTTGTGCATCCCCCCCCCATTGATTTTTTAATGAAAGTTACAAGTTACCTTTTCTCAAAAAAAAAAAAAAGAAATATAATTGCGATAAAAAAGTTTTGATGGTATCCTCAACATTTGCTGATATTTTGTGAATTTTCAAGACTAAGAAGGTTTGTCCATATCTCAAGGACATATGGACTCTCATCACAAGGGGAAGAACACTAACAAGTAAGATTGCAACTTCCAATGGTAAGTTCAGTGAACTAATTTATCATTTCTATGCTAACTGTACCTTAATGAGACAAAAGGAGCATAAGCAGCATTTCCAGTGTCAAGTTGCAAGACATGGTGGCAAAAAAAACAGGAAAACCATATGCCAATATTATGAAACAGAGTTTAGATCAGCAGTCTTATTTTTCATAAGAATGGTTGGTTCCAGAATCAGAGAAAAATGGTAACAGCAGAAACCCATAAAACAATGTTAACAATGACACCATTAACTGGAACCTAGAAAAGTTCATAATGCATCAATAAAGATGAAATAAAAGAAAAACTAAAAGAGCAGACAAGAAATCCCGAAATCACGAAGGACTAAAGAGGACATAATGACAAAATAAAAACAAAGAAAACACAAGAAAAAAATACCATGCCAGAATGACGATGAACTGAATGAATTCTTCGATTTGAGCCCGGTAACATCATCTTCGACGTTATGAGCTTCTCCACACCCTAAACCCCATCGCACACCAACATCAGCAGTTTCACCCACCCAGAAGGATACAGCAAAAGAAAAGAAAACGAAAAAGCGCAAAAGGGAACAGAAATTAGAAGATCCCAAGCCCAAGAAACCTTACCATAACGATCCCATCTTTGCATTTGATGCCGATAACAGTCCTATAACAGGTTCAGACCGTAAGCAAACAAAAAAAAAATAGATTTGAGAAAACCAAGTTGAATAAAGGGCAGGGAAGGAAGATGGTACCCGCTGTTATCGACGGCTTTGGCTGCGTATTCAATCTGAAAAACCCGGCCATCCGGCGAGAAGGTGGTGACTGAAAGATCATAACCAGTTCCAATGCTGCTCATTTTTCTCTTCTGTTTTCAAACTTCTCTTCTCTGCAGCTTTGTTCTACTTCTTTCTCGGGTTTAATTCGCCGAGCTGAACGTTTTTCTTGAATCTCAAGAAAGCCAGAGTGCCGAGGGCTACGCAGTTGGACCTTAAAAGGCGAAAAAACTCGGGTCCAACTCGACCGAGTTAGGTTGCACTCGGATCGACTCAAATTCCTCCACGTAATGGTGATTGATCCATTGGCCGGGCTTTACTACTTAGATCCGAGCCCGAGTCCGGCCTTAATATAAAGCCCGAATTGTACATAAATATATTTCTACCCAAAATACAATTAAAGTAGTTATATAAGTATTTAAATACTTTTAAATTCCTCCAAAATTATAAAAGTATTTAAATAAAATACAATCATTGAGTTCAATATCAATATTGTTCTAAAAATAAAACACTATCATTAAATCATATGTAGTTATATAAGTTATTGCATGAAACCTATTACTAATATATATTTTTATTTATTTATAATATTATTGCATCGGGCTTATTTAAAAAGTCCATGCCCAGCAAAAAAAAAAATAGGCGGGCCTAATACTTATAGACCAAACTTGAGCCCCACATCCTAAAAATATGCTTGGGCCCAATAAAAAATAATTAGATGTAATACTTACAACCGAAGCCTAGCCCATGGGCCTCAAAATATCCTTGAGCTTTATAAAATACGAGTTGGGTTAAGCAAGTCCACTAAGCTACCCGGCCCATGAACAAGTTTATTTAGTGAATATTAAACGGGAGTGATCTGTGTTAGAGAATAAGTACTCATTCAAACAAATATTTACTAAATAAATGTTTTGTTTTTTAAGTATTTATTTGAATAAGTATTCACTAGTGTTTGGGAGGTCTTTTGTCAAATCACTTGTATTTATTTCAAGTACTTATTTGTGTTGTAGTGTTTGATGAGTTGTTTATCCCATAAGTATTTATATTTTCAGAAATGACAATTGTAGTTATAACTTAGCATATGCATTTTTTTTCGTATTCGGTGCTATGCACCATTGATAACTTCCCCCTGACCCCTTTTTCCTTAAAGTGCTAGTTGTGGGATTTGATTTCACATCAACAATTCAAAACCCACTATTATAGTAGATGTTGTTGGGGCCACAAGGGAAGATAGAAAGAGATTGAAGAAATAATGAAAAACAAAGCAAAATATGGAGTTAAACAACGAGATTTCACAAACCTAATAACCTCACTACGCGTTCTATGAGGGAACGAGTTATCGATTGAAGGTTATTAAGAAGTTTTTCTCTATGATGAGAAGGGAAGTTCAGGCGGTTGGATAGAGCCGATGGCAGGAGAGAGTGTGGAAGGAGACCAAGGAGATTGGAGGAAGTCATTGGTCAAGAATGTCCATAGTAGGAAGGGCTTGTTTGCAAAAATTCTTTTGGATAAGCCAATGAATGTCTCTGGTGTCATGGATCAACTCAGGAATATGTGGTGGTGGATCAAGGGTGAAATGATGTTGGAAAGGACAAGTAGTGACATACTTTGGATCTCCTGAAGGCTTTCTGCTGGAACTATCAAGGGGTGGGTTCCCCCTTCATGGTTCGTGAAGTGAAAGATGATAATCCTGCATTTTGGTGCCTTAAGGGCATCAATTCAAGGGTATTTTCGGCATTAGAAAAGTCAAACTGTGTCATTTTCCCAGTTAATTTTAATGTTGTGGCCTCTAAGGGTCTTTGCGCAAATTTTGGAGAAAACTATAAAGTTTTCATGGCTTAAATGTAGATTTTGGGAAGTTGGTGTGAAGTCCAGCTGAAAGGGGGTGTTTTTGTAAAAAATTGAAAGCAGGAGGGCACCTCTTAGCTGCTAAACCCAATTTAGCGCTCATCTTACTGTATTAGCATGCTCTCCACGCCTTAGCAGACCCTAGGGCGCATTTTAACCCATTATTTTCACTCTTAACAAACCCTAACCACCCCTAACTGCTAAATCCTCACATTCCATCCCTTTTAATCTCCACCATCCATTATAGGGCACTCTCTTTTTAGCATTCTAACCCTAGGAGCCACCTAACTTTTAGTCTTCACCATTGAGTCTTTAGCCATTAAATCTCAGCCTTACATAATATTGGGTGCCTTCCCCTTTTCTTCTTAGCCTTAGGATCACCCTAGAACCATCCTAACCCTTCATTCTAAACCCTAGGGCACCCATATTTTTGCTGAAACTCAACTTCCACCCTTCTTTCTCTCTAATTCCAATTATATCCACCATTCTCTGTAAAAAGGACCCCTGGAGAAGGGGTTGGTCAATTCACCTAGGTAAGAATGAAGGATGATCTTGAGAAATTCAAGGGTAGAGGAAGAGGAGGACACCTAGGCAAGAGGAGGGGTTCCTCCTTGCAGTTCGCCAACACCACTACTGCCACCTCTGCAATCGGATCCCAACTAGCCTCTTTAGTTTTAGTTTTAATTTTTGTTCTTGCATTTCCAATTCCATTTCTTTCTTTCTTTAATTTATTTTCATTCCGTTTGATCTTCGTTTTCTTTTCTGCAGATATGGAATTCGGCCAGGTAAGACGGAAGGCCTAGCTCAAGAAGTTCAAGGGTCGAAGGAGAGATCCGGAGACTGCTACCTCTGATCGGATTCTCAAACATTTTTATTTTGTTCCTGTTATTTATTTGTCTTTGTTATTTATTTATTCTTATGTAGTTGTTATTCTCAGTACTGTTCAAATGTGGTTTTAATGAATTCCATTTTTAATTAATTAATTTTTTATTTCTACAACTCCCACTTGCGTTCTCTTCTCCCAGATCTAAGTACATAATTATTTTTCCTTCACTTCCCTGTGGATACGACCCATTCTCATCACTTTATTGCGTTAGTAGTTGTTTGAGAATCAGAATAAAATTATAAATGTTTAAAGTGGTGTTCCAAAGTATTTAACGACACGCTTCCGGACACACCAAAAGACACCCTAAGGAAAATAAAATCAAATGTGGTTTTCTTTAGTAAAACAAAGAGTAGTTTAACCAACTGTAAGAGAAAGTTCAGGTGTCTGTGGGAGTGGAACTACTGGAGAGTAGATTTCGTGGGTTTATCTGGAGGCCTAGCTTTTTTTGGGGGGAAAGAGTTAATCCTTCAAGTTCTTACAACAGATAAAAATTTAATCCACACAAAAATTGAGAATTTAAATGGTGATAACTCCTGGTGGTGTACCTTTGTATGCGGAGGACTTAAGAGAAGTAGAAGAATATCCTTTATGGAGAAGCTAAACCAGCTAGCCACTATTTCAATGGGGGCTTGGTGCTGTGCTGGAGATTTTAACATGACTTTAAACTTAAAAGATAAAGTGGGGGCAAAGAGGTGAAAATTAGACAAATAAGAAAATAAATATGGGTTTTCTAAGGGGTGGGAATTGGAAGAAATCCCTAGCTCTAGACCTAAGTATACTTGGACAAATAGAAGAGACCAAATAAATCATATTAAGGTCAAATCATCTGCCTATTTGCCCTGATACAATCCTCATAAATTTCAAAATTAGGAAGCCATTCAGATTCGAAGAAATGTAGCTCTCCCACTCAGAGTGTGTTGACTTAATCAAGGACGCTTGGAATGAATAATCATAATCCTCCTCTTTATACATTTTCTAGAAAGTTTGAGAGGTTAAAAAGAATTTTAAAAAAGTGGAATAGGAAGGATTTTGGTAAAGTTCAAGAGTGAATTGAGAAGCTAAAGCTTGAGCTAGAAACAAAATTAAGGAAATAATGGTCAAGTTACAATAAAAAAAGGGTGGAAGAGATTGAGGTAGATCTAGATGGTTGGCTTAAAAGAGAAGAGATTTTGTAGGCTAAAAAATCTAGGGTAAATTGGATAAACTATGGGGATAGGAACACTAATTTTTTCGTAACTCTGCCCTTAGAAGGAATTGGATAAAAGAGACCAAGCATCCTAGTAAATCAGGAGCAAATAAATTGGATAAATTGGACCAGACATCTAGGGTAAATTGGATAAACTATGGGGATAGGAACACTAATCTAGGGTAAATTGGATAAAAGAGAAGAGATTCTATATGGAGCGTCAGGAGCAAATAAAAGACATCCTAGTAAATCATTTTAATAGTATCTTCTCTACCTCCCCCTCAAATATTCCCTTGGCCCTAGAAGGAATTGAATGCCAAATAAATGAGGAGCTGCAAAGACAGGCTACAAAGTCGGAAATCAAGGTGGCACTTTTTCAAATGGCTCCAAGGAAAGCACCCGACCCTGATGGCTTTCATAATCTGGTTTTTTCAAAAATTATGGAAGGTCACTAAAGAGGATATATGTAGTGAGAGAGGTGTCTTTATTTTGTAATGAAGGGAGTCCAAAGGCAAAGAACCCTGAAGATGCCTCCCATTTTAAGCTAATTAGATTGTGCAATACAATTTATAAAATAATAGCTAAAATTTTGGCCAACGGACTAAAACCAAATTTGGAATGACAAATTTCAAAAAATCAAAGTGCCTTTCTACCAGATAAAGCTATCTCAGACGATATTTTAATAGCCTACGAATTAATGCACTTCATGTCTAACACCAAAGCCAAGAATGACTTCATGGTAGTCAAATTAGATATGGGTAGGGCCTATGCCAAGGTGGAATGGGATTTTCTAAAATCCACTTTGGAAAAGGTAGGCTTTGGGGATAACTGGGTTTCTTAGGTTATGACTTGTGTGTCAATTGTTTCTTATCAAATTCTAGTGAATGGCTCCCCCTAAAAAAATATTTCCTTAGAGGGGTTTGAGGCAGGGTTATCCCTTATCACCCTATTTTCTTCTTTGCTCTGATGTCTTTTCAGCTATTTTGAATCAAAAAGTGGTAGAAAAGAATTCTTAGGAATTAAAATTTGTAGAGGAGCTCCAACCATCTCTCACTTATTTTTTGCAGATGACAACTATTTTTTCTCTAAAACTGATCTTAAAGGGGCAAACTCTCTACTAGATACCATCTCACTCTATGAAAGAGCTTCAAGTCAACAGGTGAACTACAAAAAATCTAATGTTTTTTAGTAAGAATTTGCACCCAAGATTTAAAAAAATTGCTTGCATATTAAAAAAGTGGAAAGCCCTTCCATTTACCTAGGAGCTCACTCTTTTTCT